ACACACACACACACACACACACACACACACACACACACACACACACACAGCCTACCTTTCCATTTACAACCTGGCATTTCTCTTCTCAAATCTAATCTAAAAACCTAGAACCCAGAACGATCTAATGAGATTTTCTGCCTGCTGCCAACATCAACCCAACCTTCCACTCCTCCATTCCCCACCCTCTTTCACCCCACTGGCCCTCCCCATGGAGAACAGTTTAACAACGTGAAGCGTAAACATAGTTTTAAAATCATCATCTAGAGCATAGTTTTCTAATACGCATTATTCTTACCTTGGACTTGGGTAAATGATTAAGAAACTGAAATTTTGGATCGATAGCCTTTTGTATTTGGGGAACGGCTGTGTGTGGACCTGAGGCTTCCTGTTCAAAGTGAGGCTGGGCATTGATGTAAACCAGGGAGAGAATAAGTACTCCTATTGCTGTGGTGATGAAGCAGGCCAGCAAGCACAGCAGGAAAGTGCTCAGCAGTGACCACTGCCTCTTCTTTTCCTAGGGGAAATTCGGAAGCCATTTATTCCCCACTTGCGGAAAACTAGAAACATTGTCTCCTTTCTGGATTTTTTTGTATTCTTTTTCTGTTTGCTAACTTCAATCAGTACACCCTAAAGTTTACGTCTTGTTGATGTTGAATCAGAAAATGATCAGAACATAAAACATTTAGTGCTTCTTGACCTTTTTGTAAAACACATCCAAATTAAGAAATATATTCCTATACACGTATGTCTTACAAAATACACACACAAACACACACCATCATCATCGTCATCATCATTCAAACAAAATTTTAGTAAATAATATTTGTTGTTCTACTAGTTTTAAAATACTATTCCTACACACTATGACTAGTGGATGCAACCTGAGTTTAGCTAGGTCCCTTTCAATAAAAAATAGAATGAGTTTTGATACTGCCTGCTCAGATTGGTAGAGAAAAGGAACAGTATAACCACCAAGGAATAATCCACCAAACAAAAAGAGTAAAAGCTAAAATTCTTCCCTTCAACATGTTTAAAGTTAACTAATCAGAATGTATGAAAACATTGCCTGTGGGGGGCCCCAATTAAGAGGCAAATTTATTTTAACCTAGTGATAAAACCCAACAAGTCAAGAGCATTCGTTGATATTATGAGTAATGATTCGGAAAGAATTGGCCGTTAAAGAAGCTGTAGTTAAGGATTTATAAGAAAAGACAGCAGCAATGAGAAGAGGATCATTAAGAGCACTGATCTAAAGAGGGACTCTTTCCTGAGCTCCAGACACATAACCCCAACATGCACATCCCCACCTTACCACTTTGGACAAGGTACTGATCTTTCCCATAGAAGAAGCTTTCTGGGTTCCATCTTCTTGCATTTCAAATGCTAAATTGTCCATTGGCAAAAAGGACCAAACAATTCACTGAAAAAGAAAGGAAGAAAAGGGAGCTTTAGTAAGTGGAGATTACCAAAGAAAGAAGAATGAGAATTCTTAGGAGAGGAAGTGCTTATATAGAGCTTATAGCTAAGGGAAATAAGGAAGCTGTCTCCCAAATTATAATGTTGCTTTAAAAAAAAATTACTCATGGAAGAGATGCAAAAGTTACTGTAATAGTCCCCATTTCCTTGACAACTGATGACACATGCTGATAGTGCTAATCAAAGACAACCTTTACTTCCTCCTAGCACTATGCATCAGACGTTGGGTATGTAACAGTGTATGACTTCATTCTTACAGTAATATTGTCAGATTTTCTAACTTTCATTTTTCAAAATGGGAGACTGAGCCACAGAGAGATGAAGAAACTACCCGAAGTCAGACCCAATTTCAGTGTTGGTGCTAAGCACCTAAGATTCTCCCATGATATCACTTCTCTTGGGATTTGATGATAGACATGTAATATAGGAAAATATTTTCTTATGCAAGTCAGCTGTGTGTCTAAATCATGGGAGGTGTTCTTCTAATGCTTATGAAAAAAAATTTTTTCTGTTTTTATTAGCACATATTAATTATATAAATAATAGATGTCACTGTGACATTGCATATATACAATATACTGAAGCTAAATTTTATAAAATTCACTTTGAATCAGTTTCCTTGGCTATGAGGGACACATGACTGCTCTAACATCAGCAACTGATAATAATCCAGAAAAGCATCACCAGTTCCTGTTCTCTGCCCATCTTTCTGCCTTTAGTCTTTCTATAAACATGACCAAATATTTCATTCCAGGCTGTACAACATTAAGAAGCTGAGGGCAGAGGGAATCCTTAGCAGCTTTAAATATACCAAAGGAAAAGAAACTGTTTACAACAAAATGTGCTAAGCTTCATGCTCTGAGTGCTAGAAGTCTGTGCCTGGTCTCTGGAGATATAAGGAAGAACGGCTGCCCGAGGCATGTGTTCCGTGAAATGTCATTTAGAACTGAGCTCTCAAGTCCCAACACAGAGTCACTGAGACACACTGATTCAATTACAGGAGATCCTACAGTCCTGGCTTGTCCACAAGCAGCTCTACCACAGACCAGATGGTAAGAATGCAAACCCTACCTAGACCAACCAGCCTAGGCCCCAACCAGGCTGCTTATAAATCCATAGTTAACTGATGAAGAACTGACCTCGAAACCTTCCTCCATATATATATCAAATCCAAGGAGCGTGGTTTACCAATCTGACATCTCTGTAAAGGGAAGATGTTTAAGATAAGTAATCTTTAGACTCACTGAAAAATGGTTTATACAATCTTATTACTGTTTATCAGACAATGGTAATAATCAGATCATCACAGCAAATTCTATATGATTTTACATGATTGTGTTCCTCTTCTCTCTTGAATATGTAAAAACACTGCCCTCTAGCACCAGCATTATTTAGACTCTGCGGGTTTGTTTTTTTTTTTTTGCATTTATTTAAACAGCTGGACAAGCAAATCATCAACCAAACTATACTAGAATTTACTGATAAACTCAATCAAACAACCACCATAGCTAGATAAGGTCCCTTTGATCTTTACAAATTAAAAAAAAAATGAACGTTCAAAGAGTCCAAGTCATTTTTCCAAGTTAACAGAGTAGGCCACTGGCAAAGCAAAAATAAAAGTCCAGCTAGCCCCTGCTAAACAGCCTTCTTTCCATTGCTTCCAAGAACTTGTGTTTGCAGGGAGACTTCATTCTTTTGCATATATTAAATAGTTGAGAATAACCTGAGGATATAATAGAGACACATAAGTCACACAGAAGGAGGAGAATCATTGCAAGTTAACGACTAGCCTCCTACACATAGCAAGTTCCAGGCCTGGCAGTGATACACAGTGACACCTCATCTCAGAACAAAACAACAACAACAATGGAAGATAAATTTAAGTAGAGGCTTGGAAAATGGAAATACTGTCAACATCACTGTGAGGCATGTGAACGTAATTCTGTGGTGTGGACCAGAGACCCCACTACAGAAATGCATGTACCAACCATTCACATTACCCGCAGAGGTAGAGCTGCTTTTGTTAAACTAGAAATGGCTAGCATGCTGGGAAGAAACAAGGCAACACTATAAATTAAGCAGACTCTCTCATAAAGCCATATCACCAAGCAATATAAAGAATAAAAAAAACTTGTAAATCCATTTCTATTTCTTTGTAAGACACCTAACGTCAGGTGTAACAGCCATGCTTACATGCTATAGCCAAAGACAAACACAAACTCAAACTGAGGGAAAATAATTGATAAGTATTTCTATTTGCACTTAGTTGTTGAAGTCATTGTGTCTCCAACTATAAATACAAGCACCAAACATATTTGCTGAATTCACTTACACTGTCAAATATGAAACCCACCCAATTCAAGCATAATTAGAAAATGCTGCATATTCACCCTATATGTAGAGGCTAGAAGCTGATAATGTAAGAGTATACATCTTAGTAGTGGTTACTAGACCTCAGAAGGCAGGGAGAAAGCACTTGATGGGAAGAGGGGTGTGACTACCTAAGAAGATAACTTACAATGTTCTATAGCACAAGCTATCCATGACTGACAACAAACAACTGAATACTCCAAATTCAATCATAGGACTTATTTTATTTTTCTCAGAACAAGGAAATGATGTCACAGAGTGATTACATATGCCAATTATCTTAATCAATCATTACACATTGTCTACATGAAACAAAATGCAAACACCATCTTTCATAAATGTGTCAAATTGTCCTATGTCAATTGAAAAGACAAAAATGGGATTTTTAAGTCAGATGATGGACTACACAATATTACTGTGTGACTCATTGAAGGAGAAATGTGGGGATAAGAAAAGTTGCTATTCCACAGAAAGCAAGCGAGGAAGAGCCCAAGAACCTCATAAAATTAGCAACAGAATATCTGCAAAGATAAAAATCATTATATATAATATATATTTTTAATATATATCTACCATCAAGAGCCATGTCTAGGTTCATGGTCCTGCTGCAGCAGGAGTCTGCGCTGATGTCTGTGGCCTGTCTTACCACCAAAGGCCATGCAGATGTCTGTGGCCTGCTGCAGCCTGAAGCCACTTTGATATCCATAGGCTGTGCTGCCACTGGAAGTTGTATTGATGTGGGTGACCTAAGGCCATGTTGATGTCCATTGTCTGGGCAGCCTCTGAAGGCTGAGTCCATGGTCCTGCTGCAGCAGGAGGCCATGTTTGTGGTCTGCACTGTCACCAGAAACCAAGTGGAGGCCCATGATCTGTGTTCTGGCGGACTTCAAAGAGCAAGGAGACTACTTTTGCCATGACATCGATGACTGCAGATACACAGTTGAGGAGAGACATGGAAGGCCCCTGTGATAACTCCTACCCCCATACCAACCTATCACAAAAAAAGTAACATCCTAGATAGGAAGCCATCAAAGAAAACCCTTAAAAAGTGTGATGGAGATGTCCAGCAGTAGCTCTCCACTACTGAAGGCTTCTGGCAGAGGTGTGGGAAGGGAAGGATTCAGCTCTGTCTCAAGGGACAGGCTGCTAAGAATTTGACCATGATGCAGTGAGTGTATAGATAACACAACATCAATTTTTTCCTTTTTTTCTTTTTATCTTTTACTTATTTGTGGGGGTGGAGTCACAAGAGGGGGCAGACATGAAAGGACTGGGAAGGGATTGTGGTCAGGCCACATAATGTGAAAGTCCCAGAGAATCAATCAAAATGTTATGTGGAAAAAATTATATATAATGTATATATAATATAAACATATTATTTATATATAATAAATCTATATAAATCTTTTTAAAACAAGACATGATCAGAGAAGAACCTCGCCATGATGTGAGAAATATGAAGCAAAAGACCTCAAAACAAGCTAGAACCATAATATTAAAAGCAGTAAGGGCAAACATCTACCTAACTACAAAGGCAAATAGAGATTATTATTCCAAAATCTTTCATTAGTAACATTAAAATCAAGAAGTCATGGAACAACATATTCAAGCCCAGATATTTCACTCCCAAAGAAGCTATATATCCGTTATAGCTATCTTTTAAAACTGTCTGGAATGGCGGTACAAGTCTGTAATTCCAGCTATTGGGCTGAATGGGGCAGGAGGACCACAAGTTCAAGGCCCACCTCAAACTCAGAGTGAGATCAAGGTCAGCCTGAAAAACTTAACAAGACCCTGTCTTAAAGACAAAACAAACAAAGAAGAAAAGAAAAAGAATGATGTGGTATGTCTGCGTAATGAAATTCTATTCAGCCATAAAAAATGAATTTAATATTTGCATCTCTGTGTATGCATGTGTATGTGTGTCAATGTCTGTGTGTTTATGTGTGTCTGTGTGTGAGAATGAGAGTCAGAGAGAAAGACAGAGAGACTGAAAGACACAGATAGAGAATAGAAATGTATGAAGGGGAGGACTATAAAAGAAGACTCTAAAGAAGAAAGGGAAGGAAAGATAATGAAATATACATGACCTGAGAGCAGAATGGTGACTTACAGGCAGTGGCCAACAGGGGGAAATCAGAATAAAGCACAAAAATACCGTAATGAAACTTATTACTTCGGATAATAACTTTAAAATCATATTTTTTACTTCAAAAAGAAATAAATCCATTTTAAAAGTGGCTAAGTCTCAACTGTAACTGTTACAAAAGGAAGTGACTAGGGGAAAAATGACCTTTAGGTGAGATGGATCCTGTAAGGGACAAGTGTTATATAACAAGAAAACTCATGAAATCTGAGCAGGGACCCTCTACAGTTGAGTTAACAGTGTACCTCACTGTTACACACTTGGCTAGTCTGTTTCTGTTGTAGCTCACTGTTATATGCTTGGTCAGTCTATTTTACCACCAATCAAAAACATATTTACAACCCTCCTCCCTTTTAGTTCCCATTGGGACTTGCTACAGACTTCCTTCTTTGGAATGCTTATCTCCATCTCAAGGAGTAGGCAAAACTAATAATAAATATAGCAAGTGCAAGAGCTGGTAACTGCATTATTCAGCAAAGAGTAATCTAGATAGATATCACTATAACTCGTTACGTGAGTTTTGAGTGTGCACACGCAGGTCATGATATCAGAAGAAGGATCTTGAAGGAGAGGAAGCAACCATGGGCTGGGTAGGATAGGTTTAGAAGACTTCTGTTTATTTTCCAAGAACATATCAAGGCACAAGAGAATATTGTTTGAATATCCTTTAAAAAAAAAAAACTGGGCCACATTGATCCTTCTCTATGCCATCCTGAGAGAGAAGAAAGGGCTGTGGTTCTTAAGTCTATTAACAAGTTGTACCCACTTCTGTTATCAGCCTTGCTAAACCCAAGAGGAAATATTTTATTTACTAGTAGCCTGACTTTTCCCCAAAATATTTAACAACCTAAAGGGCACAGGCACTGACCAATCGTAAGTAGCTCATTGTACCACCTTAGCTTGCCAAGTTTATACTGAAGTGGTTGAGCATATGAAGTCTGGAGCAATTAGTGACAGCAGCCGGATGATTGTGGAGAGGCTGACAAGGAAATGTTGAGCATGAAATATCTACACTAACAAGATTCATTAATGCTCTCATTATGTAAATATATCTTATCTGCTGCTTAGGTCTAAGAGGATGAGTGGCTGTCAGAGTGGATGTCATGTACCAGACAATGTTAAAAGTTATGAGGTCAAGAAAGGACACAGACCTGTACCTCAACTATATTGCAATGCAATGATTCACTCTAGCTAATAAATGCACAAGGAAAAGTAAACATTTTAAAGTATGTTTTATAGTACCCTGATATCAAGACAGAAAAGGCACTTTACTGGCCCCAAAGCAAATCAGTAACATACATTGGATTTACCTGATTGTGGGGAAAAGATCAATACATCTCCCCAGTGCTTCCACACCCACCAATACTCCTTTGAGAAATGCCCTTGCTCTTATGAAAAACTAGCAAGCATTGGATGGGAATCAACTCATGAAAATAAATGGAAGAAAATCAGAGCATCCTAGAACTTTTGAAGTAATATAAAAATAGTTTACTGATTTAGCTGTATCCCATATCCTTGCTAAGTCAGTTTCCTTATGTGTATGAATTATTAAAGCTAGAATAAATGGCCTTACTGATGTGAATACGGATTACCAAGCAAACATTCATGCAGCAGATATGTGTTTTCCAGTGAGAGGGTGCTGAGGTGGCAGAACCCATAAGATGTGGTGCTTAATGAAAAGTAAT